GAGCCCCTGTTCCCAAAACTTCTAAACCTTGCACACACCTGTAAACCCTAAACCCCAAACTTTAAAAACTAAACCCTCAACCCAAAACGCTAAACCCTAAACCCCAAACCCTAAACCCTAAGCCCTTTGCAAAAAACACTGGTTCGAAGAGCTCATGGCCCCGAGCTCCCTGCACTCTGTGCTGACTTCACAAACCTTGATCGACTCTCCTTCCGCGGGAAAGTTCATGGTTTAGGAATTTCCAGGGCTCTAGGATATTTGGGGGCTTCGGGGGTCTGGGGTTTAGGGCTGGTAGGGTTTTTTGTTTAGGGTTCAGGGTTTCGGGTTTAGGGTTAGGGTTTAGGGTTTAGGGTTTTTGAAGGTGGAGGTGGGGGGGGGGGGGGGGGTTAGAGCTTGGCGTTGTTCGGGCTTTCGGGATTTCGTGGGGTCAAGGCTTGCACCGTCCTCCGCCTTAGGGTGTAGGGTTGAGGCTTTAGGGTTTAGGGATTTGCGTTTGGAAGACCTAGCCCCTGAACCCCAAGAGGAGCAAGAACAGGAATCATACGAAGAGGAATGCCTTCAACGATAGAAACACGATGACCATAGCCAACTCTTCGTACTAACAAAAGCAATCCAAAGCAGAGGACTGAATCCAGAGGAGCAAAACAAATACTACCTATGGTCTCCGTTGTAGTTCCTTTTTTTGTTAATAACCAACTATATCTTCAGGATCCTAACAGGCAACCCCAAAGAGGAACTACAATGGAGACTACAGGTAGAAAGTAAACCCAGTAAGTAATAAGAACCACAGAACATGAGTACATTTGGTACTGCTGATGGACAAAATCCTGCATGACCTTAAGGACCCTAAACTATGGGAATTATGGTATATTCCTTGTATTGGGTCATGCAGGATATTGTCCATCCACAGTAGCACTGCAATGCTCAGGGCTTCGAGTGGAGGGCCCTCAAACCGCGGGGTCTAATGCTTGGGGCGTCAAGGTCAGGGTGGATGGGTGTAGGGATTGAGTTCAGGGTTTAGGGTTTAAGGTTTCTGGCTTAGGGCTTAGGGTTTAGGGTTTAGGGTTTCGGGTTTTGGGCCCCTGAGGTCGAGGGCTTCGGATTTCCGTCTTGGGGATTGCTCTGATGCGTCTTTGACAAAACACCCTGAAGCCGTCGTCGAAGCCCGAAAGACGACAATGTGGGGGCCCCTCCCCTGTAGTATGAGACTCTGAGCGCTTGGGGTGCGTTATACCAAAACTATAAGAAGGAACCCCCAAAACCCTATATGGGTGGTTGTCAAAATTAGGGTCCCTTTTTGGGTCCTTAATATAATACGGCACCTCGTATTTAGGGTACCCAACAAGGGACCATACTTTTGACAACTACCCATATGTGAAACTCTGAGCGCTAGATCCTTTTCGGCTCCCTCGGCTCATCGCGGCTCATGCTTTGACTGAGCTCTCGGTTTCGAGACTCAGAAACTTGGGAGCTGGAGCAGCAGAGGGAAAAGGATCGAAACACTGCTGCTGTTTAGGGGTTTAGGGTTTTTGGTTTGAAAGTGCAATGGGGTTTAGGGTTTAGGGCACAGGCGGGTTGAGGGTTCAGGGCTCTGGAATTCAAAAGTTTAGGGCTGTGGGGCGTTCGGGTGTTTACGCTTTGGGGCTTGGAAGTGGCTTGGAGCTGCTTCTAAGAGCTACTCAAGCTCTTGGCCCGTCTCTGGTACCAGGCCCAGCGTAGCTCGTCTTGGTCGGGGCGGACTCTCGACCCCCCCAAGCGGAGAATGAGAGCCTGCAGATGGTCGAGATCAACCACGGGCTGCACTCCATGCGCAGCACGAGATCCAGCCAAGGGTGACAAAGCCCGGATCTTGCCTACGATGCCCTTAAGCTCTTCCATCTCCGACGTCGCAGCGTTAAGCTCCGTCACAAAGCGACGGCGACGCTTCAGTTCCACCAGCTCTTCGCGGAAGCCAGACTCACAAGCCGCAACCTGGGTTGTGCTTTAAACCCTCTGAAATTATTTATGAATAGGTTCCCCTTCTAAGGAAATAAGGGGAAACTTTAAAAATTGTCGCAAAGCACATTTTTTATTTAAAAAATTACCAGCAACAAGGTTTTTCAGCTTCGCCTGGCTCCGGCGGAGGGCTTTCAGGCGCTTCGACTGCCAGGCGACCATGCCTAGGATACCCAGTAACCTAAGAATAAAAAGGCCTCTCTTTTTGGTGTTGGGTAACTTATAAGGAACCTAGGACTACAAAAAGGGAGTAAGGGTACTACTGGGCCTAGCCCCTAATTTTCGGAAACCCTAAACCCTTTATAGAACCCTTATAAATCCCTTTAAGGCACCCTTATAGATCCCTTTAAGGAACCCTTATAAACTTATAGATCCCTTTAAGGAACCCTTATAGATCCCTTTAAGGAACCCTTATAGATCCCTAAGGGTACTACTGGGCATCCTAGATGCGCGACTCGCTTTGACCGACCCGAAGCCGGAGTTTCTTCGGCGGCTTCGGCGCCATGGGACGGGGCGACAGAGTCTTTCGGGCGGGTTTTTATACCACATTCTAGGTATAGTATGGTATGGTATACTATACCAGTATGGTATAGTATGGTATAGTATGGTATGGTATAGTATGGTATAGTATGGTATAGTATAATGGTATAAAGACACAGTATATCAATATTTGAGGTCCTGAAAGAGGGTTTTCTGAGCTACGGGTGCCGACCTCCCACTGCAACTGTATCCCATGCACTGCCTGTGGATCTGGGATGCTGCAAGAGAGAGCGGCATAGCTATGCCGCGGATACTCAGCCAAAGAAGTTCTGCGTCGTGCAAACGATCGCGAGAGGTTTTAGGGGTTTAGGGGTTTGGAGTTTAAGGGCTTTGGGTTCGGGGGGTTAAGGTTAGCGGCATAGGGGTGCAGGGATTTAGAGGTTAAAGGGTTCGGGGGCTTAGGGTTTACAACCATCATGGCAGACCGCCGCAACTCATTATCTTGAGGCAGATCATGCTCGACTGTAAGCCCTAAACCCTAAACCCCTAGCACCAACCATGGCATCCGGATTCGATCATGCTCGAATAACACAAACGACCCAAATCTGAGCAAGATTGACAGCATAGTTGAAGAACTGCCTTCAAGATTCCCGACTTTAGGAGTTTCCGGAAATATGGGACCCTAACATAGTACCCTAAAGAGTAGGATCCTTATTATAAGGACACCGAAAAAGGGGTGCCCCTTGTTCTCGGAAACTCCCATATAGAGGCTAAGAGGTGGCAGGGGCCGAAGAGCTAAGAGCTTTTGAGGCAAAGGTTTTCAAGTGCTTGGGTGACTGTGGCCCGATGGTCCTTCGCAGAGTTGCGGGGTTGCGGGGTTCAGGGTTTTGGGGTTTAGGGGTTTAGGGTTTAGGATCTAGGGCTTAAGGTTTAGGGTTTAGGGTGTACTGGCAGAAGAGACTGACACGTAGTGTTGACAAAGTTGACCCTCTGGGATGGCAGTTTTCGGGTCGGCGGTGGTGTGACGGGCTGTTGCAGCTGCCACGATTGGCTCTAGACCAACATCCATACACCCGAAACCTAATCCCCCTGAACCCTAAACCGAACACCCTAAACCCTAAACCCGAAATCCTAAAACCTTGACCTAAACGCTAAACCCGAAACCCTAAAACCTAAACCTGAACTGGAAACCCGAAACCCTAAACCGAAAACCCGAAACCCCCAAACCGAAAACCCGAAACCCAAAACCCTACGGTTGATGATACAAATATTACCCATAAAAAGGAATATACCTTGAGTACGGCCCCCATACAGTAACAGTCTATAATAGGGTTACTATTAAGGGCTTTATATATCTATATTATGACTATTCTCCAACTGTTACTGAGTGGGGGCCGTACTCAAAATATATCATTATTCTCATACTTTAGGGTCATCAAGGTAATGCAGGATATCAACAGTAGCGTGCCTGGAACGTCGGAGGCCTCCGCCTTCGGAGGAAACACAGGGAAGTCGCGGAGCTTGGGAGGTCAAGTACGGTCTTTAGGGTTTAGGGTTTAGGGTTTTAGGGTTTAGGGCTTTAGGTTTTAGGGTTTAGGGTTTTAGGGTTTAGGGTTTAGGGTTTAGGGGTTCGGGAAACAGAAGGAAGACCCCACCTGTTTCCCAAAAGACCTACGTTTTTGAGGAACTCTGTATAGAAGCCACAGTAAGGAACACTAACAAGGTACGTCTTTTCGGCTACAGGTCAACCCTAAATAGGGTTTAAGGGCTACTTCTCGGAGGTGCATAGTTAGTACTAGGTGGGGTCATAAGTAGGATATCAAAAGTTACAACCCACATTAGGGGACTTGTAACCCCACGTATAACTACCCCTCAACCCAGACCCTTCTAAGCCTTATAGAACCCTTAGAGGAACCCTTAAAGGAACCCATAAAATAACCCTTAAAGGAACCCATAAAATAACCCTTAAAGGAACCCTCAAGCCTTTGAGGTTTAGGCTTTCGGGTTTAGGGTTTAGGGGGCTCGGGAAACTGCAGGGCTCCAAGGCCTCGGGGCTTCTGAGGCCTTCAGGGCTCGGATCTAGGGATCTGTGGGGTGTAGGGTTTAGGATATTTTTTATCTACGATAGCGGCCCTCTAGGGTTTCAGGTTGAGGGTTTAGGGTTTAGGGTTTAGGGTTTGGGGTTTAGGGTTTAGGGTGAGGGTTTAAGGTGTGGGTGTAGGGTCTAGGGTGGAGGGTGTGGGGTGTAGGGTTTGGAGTTTAGGGATCCATGCTTGCGGCTTTCAGCAGCCGGACTGCGCGGGAGATGCTTCAACACTTGGAGCTTCATGGGTAGTCATAAGTGGGGTTTATAAGTCCCCCAATATGGATTATAAGTATAGTTACCCTTCTTACAACCCTACTCAAAACTACCCAGGAACCTCCAAGTAGCTTCAACCCCTACACTGTGGCGCTGGATAGAATAGAAACACCCTGCCGAAATCCGCGAGCAAAAAGACACCGTCTGCCGAAAACCCTTCAACTGGAGACCCCAAACCTAAGAAACAAGCACGAAAGCACACGCCCCAAACCCGACCTTATCCCAAACCCTAAATCGAAGACGACCTGCACCCCTAAACCCTCCTCCTTTCTTCACCTCCAACAAAGAACAAAGCCTGACGTAAACCCCTCAAGCCTGACACCTCCGAACTCCGAAGGAGCCGTATGTCAAGTGTAGGCTTGCCAAGACCATAAGATCAACCCTACTTCATGGGCGGTTGTCAAAATTAGGGTCCCCTGTTGGGTCCCTAATATAAAACGGCACCTATTTTTTAGGGTACCCAAAAAGGGATCACAATTTTGACAACCACCCTCATGTTCGTGTGGGACTGCCACAGCATTCTGCTGTACCTTACTTCGGTGGTCCCGACTGACAGGATCTAAGGATCCGATCCAGAGTCCCTCATGCCCTACAGAACTCAAGCACGAGTCCCACCAAAAAAAGTCACCAAAGACCTGGAGTGGGTTTAGGGTTTAGGGTTTAGGGGTTTAGGGTTTAGGGTTTAGGGAACTTGAGAAACAGACCTGTGAACACCCTGTTGTGGCATCCGAAAATCACGGACCAATGTTCGGCTGTACTGGTCGATACAAGGACCTTCGCACGACTACACTACGATGATAATAAGAATCAGAGGCAATAGTACTGGAAATGATTCCTAAACCCTGATAAATCCCCATATATAAAACCCCTGCAGGAACCCTTAAAGGAAATAGTATCAGTATCAGTACCTATTCAGACCCCCGAAGCTTAAATGCTACATCCTCAATCCGAAACCATGAAAAGGTCACGTTACCTTCAGCTTCTGCCGATCGACGTCGACGACCTGAGATCTAGGGAGTGGGTGTGGGGTTTAGTCGGTTTAGCAGTTAAGGTTTAGGGTTTAGGGGTTTGCCAACTAGGGTCCCCGTGAAATTCCCGAACTACAGGGTGCCGTAATAAGACTGGACTTGTATGGGGTGCTGGCAGAAGGACACTTAGGGTTCCATAAGGGCCCCTTTAAGGGGTAGTATAAGGGTGCCATAAGGGTTCTTGGAGTTTCTAGGAACCTGATTACGAAACCTTGGGCCTTTATTAGGGGTTCCTTACATGAATTTATTAAGCCTTCTTAAACGAATCCTACTCTATTTTGGGGGGTTATAGGTCCAGGGTTTCTTAATCAGGTTCCGACCCTTTCCAGTCGACCTCAGCGCCCAACCCGCTTCCCCGTAGCTGAGAGGGCCAGCGAGGCAACAAGCAGCAGCCTCGAGAGGACCTCGGGCCGGACCCGAAAGAAGGACTATGGTTCCCTGAATTCAGGCTAGCAGGGTTTAGGGTTTTAACTCAGGCTATAGGGCCTAATAGGGTTTAGGGTCCCCAAAATTCAAGCTAGCAGGGTTTAGGGTTTAGGGGTTTTTAATTCAGGCTACAGGGCCTGTTTCGGGTTCCCTTAATTCAGGCTGCTGTTTTTGTTGAGCGCATTTTTCCCTCTCCCCTCTTCGACTAGACCTGGCTTTTGGGTTTAGGGAGGCTTGGGACTCGACACCCGTGTGTGAACGCAGGTTTCATATTGATGTTTCTATACAGCTTTTATTCCCCCCAAAAAAAACGTGCTCACGCAAACTAAGGGTCCTAAGCTTAGAGTAAAGACAGCTGATTTGGCCCCTGCATCCTTTGATTTACTATTGTGTGCAGCATGCATACTGCACGCGTCTCCCTCTCACATTGTAAACTTACGAGCATGGACCGTTTTCGGCCGTCAAAAACCTTGATTCACAGCAGTACTTGAGAGAAAAACTTTCAGTGTCCTGGTCATTGCGGATCGCGCCAGTAAAAGAGGGAACGAATCAGCACCGTGGTAGTGTCGTGATAGTCCCCTGGCGGTGTTCTGGTGTGTCTGGTGGTCGCTTGGAAATCTCCTCTTGGTCTCCTGGTTGTCGTGGTCGTCTTGTTCGCAGTGGTCGTCGTGCTAGTCCTGGTGGTCCTGGCGGTCCTGGTGGTCGTCCTGGTCGTCCTTGTCTTCGTAGTGGTCGTGGTCGCCGTGGTCGTCGTGGTCGTCGTGGTGTTGCTGCACTATTTGGGATTTACGCTAGCATAAAGACAGGTGTTTGCTAAGGTACGTTACGCTAACGCTGATCGCCTTCAACCCGCACTTGTTGGGATTCTAGGAGTGTTTCAGCTTTGGGGCCCTAGAGGGCTCTAGATCTGAAGCTTTGCGTTTTAGACTTCGGGCTTCGGATTCTTGAGCTTCGGTTCGGGTTTGGGGCATCGCAGCGGTTTTCAGCCTGTAAAGCCGACCTCAGGTGAATAGAATAGGGTTTAGGGCTTAGGGTTTAGGGCAGAGGAGTGCTAGCCGCAGCAAGTCTTAGTAGTCGTAGCATCGCCGTAGCTGTAGTACGGGTGGTGGTAGTGGCAGGAGCAGTGGTAGTGGCAGGAGCAGTGGAGTGGTAATACGGGTGCTAAGTGCAGCATGAGTAGTATCCAAGGGTAAAAGGAGGGACCCTTAACAA